AAGGTCCTCTATTATTTTCATATAGTTCACTTTTGAGTCGATTTCTTCTATTTCTTCAGGAGTAGGGTGTACAATTCTTCTTATTTCGGGATCCCTGGTTTCTGGTGGTGTCATGTTGCCTTTCAGGTTGTTGGAGGAATTCTTGAATTGGCGCCTTCCCATCTCTTCCTTCAAATGGAGCCAGGAGAGGCCTGGTGTCTTGGTCCAGTCTTTGCTGTGATTGACTCTCTGGGTATCTCTTCAGTGTAGAAGCAGGAACCGTTCCCGTCCTGATGGGATTCCTCAGCAACTAAACAGGGCCACTGGTAGCCCAGTGATCCAGGGCCAACAGGATGAATGGAGCAAGGGGGGGGGGGGCGGTATCCAGGTGCGCACAGGAAGCCTGGCACAGGAGCTGAAGTTGCCCTGCTCCCTTACAGGGACCCTGAGGCCTGCCCGGTAGGCAGGCACTCACCGCTCTGGGTGGGTAGCCTTTGTTTAGGAGCTTAAAACTGTATTTGAGCACTGGTCCTAGCATACAGCAGGGCAGGGTTGGGAGGGGTGCTGGGGGTGCTGGGTCGTGCGAAAGAGAGACAGCCCTGCAGAAGGAGCTGGGGGAGGGGGTTTTGTGCTCTCTTCTGGGACAGTCCGCCCCTGGATAGCACACACTCACCCGTCCTGATGGGATTCCTCAGCAACTAAACAGGGCCGCCGGTAGCCCAATGATCCAGGGCCAACAGCATGAATGGAGCAAGCTGAAGGTGCCCGGCTCCCTTACAGGGGACCCTGAGGCCTGCCTAGTAGGCAGGCACTCACCGCTCTGGGTGGGTAGCCTTAGTTTAGGAGCTTAAAACTGTACTTGAGCACTGGTCCTAGCATACATCAGGGCAGGGTTGGGGAGGGGTGCTGGGGGGGCTGGGTCGTGCGAAAGAAAAAGCTTCTTTATTTTCTTGAGTATCTTTGAGGGATTTATTAATTTCTTCTAATTTTTTCTTTGTCCTCTCCTTCATATCTTTAAAAGAGTTTTTTACTTCATTTTTAAAGGTCTCCATCATTTTCATAAAGTTGTGGTTAAAGTTCTTTTCTTCTTCTTCTTCTGGGTTAGGATGTTCAAGTTTTCTTGTTGTATGTTCACTGGATTCTGATGTTACCATGTTGCTTTCAGTGTGTTGGAGTAATGTAGGCATTGGCACCTACCCATCTCTTCCTTCTAATTAGGCCAGCAAAGTCTTGGCACCTGTATCCAGTCTTTGCTGTGGCTGACTGATTGCTTGGGAGTTTTTCATGGTCTATTGTCTCTTAGGTTCCCTCACCACTGGAGCAGGCTGTGATGCAGGGTTTCAAGGATTTTGCAGGCAAAAAGGCAGGCTCTCCAGTCCCCTCTCTATCAGGGTTCCAAGGACCTTGCAGATGAAAAGGCAGGATTTTGGGCAGGGTGGATGGGAGATAGAAGACCCAGTGGCAGGAGCATTCCCTTCTTGCTCTCCAGTCCCCTCAGACCTGAAGCAGGCTGTGTTGAGGGATCCAAGGACCGTGTGGAAGAAAAGGTGGGCTTGGGGGCAGGGTGGGATGGGGTAATGAAATCAGAAGTAGAAACACACCTCACTGGATGGCCAGAAAAGCTTAGGGAACTGGGGAAGGCTGGATTCTGTCTCCCTTGGAAGGTCCCAGAGAGTGGCACTTCTTGCTGTTGGTCTTGTGGCCATCAACTCATCTCTCTGGTCCCCTCAGCAGGAGAGCTTGGTCTCTTGCACGGTTCCAAGAACCTTGCAGATGAAAAGGCCTGCTTGGGGGCAGGGTATGATGGAAAAAAGAAGACCCAGTGGCAGAAGACCCTGCTGGCTCTCTGCTCCCCTCAGCCCTGAAGCAAGCTGTGTTGGGGGTTCGAAGGACCTCGCAAAAGAAAAAGGGACATACAAACTCTTTTAAATGTTATGGGAAAATTTAAATCGAGTTTTAAATAAAAAAAAAGAAGCTAAGGGTTAGCAGAAAGGGATATCCCTGTTTTCAGTAATTGCAAACTTCCACTTGTGCATATGGAAGGAGTTCAGTTAACAGTGTGAACACTTCTCCTTCTTTGGCTTATTGTTCCTGTGTCTATACTGAATGTCTGTGTCTATACTGAGGGTCTGATGTCCACCAGCCTGTGTTAATGGGAGCCATTTTTCTTCTTTGAACATCAGAACTCTACAGCCACATTGAGCTGTGAATTCTAAGGGCTGGCTAGATTCTCTCACTCTTTGGGACTACCCCTGACCATACTGCTCTCAATGCTGTATAACCACTGGGTGACTCCATATTGACATGAGTCTGGAAAGCCACTTTAGCATGAGAACAGTACAGGTGTTGACACTTTGAAAATCTGTTGGTTGTTAAACAACAGGCAGGAGGATGCTGTGTGGATCTCAGAAACACCACAATAATCTTTCAGTATCCAGCTTCACTGTAATGATCAACAGATTCATAGATTTATATTTTTACTACCTCAGTGGGCTAAGGCTCAGAGGTTTCATTAAAAACTCCAGCATAATTCTCTAGTAAGAAACTTGATTTGTGGTTGCCCATGGCTGGACTCTATTTCTTATGTCCTTTCTAGACTAGCTTATATGCTGCCTGATCATCTGGTATATAACTTTCCTGCATGCCTGTTTTCTAAAATCCACATTTTGTTCTTTCCACTCAGAATTTGTGGAAGACTAAGTACAGTACCCACACCCTGTGGGTTTTCCTTCATGTCGGTGTGTTATATTGCTAAATCTTTAAAATTTTTGTATACTGAAATTTTTATACACTTTTTCTATTTTACTAAAAAATTGCAGACAATTTATATTGATCATTTTTTCTCTCCAACACCTCCACATTTAAAATATAATTCTCTTATTTCCTCCTCTTTACCTACATCAAACTCTGTCTTGTCTCTTAGAGCCATTTTCTATCAAATTCATTTTTATAATTATTGTTAGTTAACAAATTCCGCACATATAAATAAATAAGTTTACATATATAACCAACTTAATCAATTATTTGCTGTATACTATTGTTTTGTGTCATTGCAAAAACCTCAGCCCTGAACTCAAATGGAAAAAGAAAAAATTTATTCTAGAATCAAATTAGTGTGATCATGGCCAGTGAACACAGATTTAGGTGACCCAAGATCCATGTTCCATTGAGGAGACAGTTTCATGAAGATTTCATAGTAAAATATAAAGCAAGTTGTAAATCAAGTAAATTAGTGGATACATCAGCCAGGAGGTCACAGGCAAGTCAGAAAAATATATGCTTCAGGACCAATATGATATCTGATGTCATGGTTAGCTTTTAGGTTGTTGGAAGACAGTGCTCTACTAAGTTCCTAGATTTCAAGGGAATTTCACCTTCGTTATAGGAAATTAACTCACCTCCAAAGTTGTCCATAGATGGCTGTTCATGTTGGTGCAGTTAGCCTGGAGTAAGGTAATGAGCTTCTAGATCTGCAAAATTCCAACATCTCCACATCACTAAAGTTGATATCAGCCAGTCTCTGTAGACACGGATCTTTCCAGGAGTTCTCATGTATGATTTATACACATGAATACATTTATACACATGTTAATCATATACACACATTTACACGTGTATACATTTATATACATGTGTACATTTATACTGCTGAACACTCAGTATTGAATAATCCACAGGAAGGGATTTCTCCTTTTCTCAATAGTGACTATTCATTGGTTATGAACAACAGATTCTCTCTTAACATAGCATCTAGCTATAGACCTCACAGTCACATGATGTAAACAAAAGTCATATTTTTTTTCTGCTGCCAACAGATCTCTATGTAGAATCTCTCCTTTAAGAGAACTCAGTGGATACATGATTTCTCTTGCTTGCTCCAGTAGGGCTAACCAGGCTCTCATCTAACCCAGGTTTTGAAAGTATCTGATGGAGCAAGGTCATTGGCTAATAAAGGCACTGCCCTGGCCCATTTTATTGGTTAGAGGATAGGTGGGAGGAGTAAACAGAACAAAATGCTGGGAGGAAGAGGAAGTGAGCTCAGAGACTCGACCATTTTCCTCTCGGGAGCAGACGCCTGAGAGAGACGCCATGCCCCTCTTCCGGGATGAAGCTCTGACCCAGGATGGACTAGGCTAGAATCTCCCCAGTAAGCGCACCTTGGGGTGCTACACACAGATGATTAGAAATGGGCTAAATTAATATGTGAGAATTAGCCTAGAAGAGAATGGGCCAAGCAGTGTTTAAAAGAATACAGTGTCCTTGTAATTATTTCAGGGCATAAGGTAGCAGGGCAGGCGGCTGGGGTGTTGGGGACACAGCCCCACCACCGCCCTTATTACTTCAAGTATCTCCTAAAATCCCCTCTCCAATCACTGAATATCATAAGTGAGTGAAACAGTTTAGCTCACCTTCCTGCTTCCAAGGTTTCTTTTCCTGTCATTTGAGAATTCTTTTAGTACTGTCTTGAATTTGGGAGCTTTTACTATTTTTCATATTCTAATTTTACTTATTATTTTACTTACATTTCTTCTTCCCTGGCAGGAGACTCTATTCAGTCATTTAATCTGCAAGTTTAGAGAACAATTTTTCTTTGTTTACAAGTTTCTGAAATTTTAGAAATATTTTTTTTTATTTTTTTGTCTATTGTTTGTAGATTGTTTTGTCTACATGTGTATGTGCTCCACATGTGTGCCTGGTGCCTGCAGAGGCCAGAGGAGGACATGGATCCCCAGAAAACAGGTGTTGCAAACTATGGTCGCCCAAAGAGTGGCTTCTGTAACCTGAATCAGAATACTACACAGGAGTAGCATGTAATTCCAGAAACAAATACTAAAATATAATTCAAATACCAAGAACTTCATGAGCCATGCCATGATGTTCCTGAGTTGTCAGCAGCTCATTCATACAAGCTTTATGTGTTAGAATAGAAGTCAAGGCTTAAAGGCCTCTTCCTGAATCTGTTATGGAGTTTCTGAGAATAATGGCCTGATTGTACTCATCATTCTGCTCCTCCTGTTTAGAGAGAAATGGAAGAACTATCAATATTTGCTGACCTTATACTTTGCCATTGAGGAGATCAATAAAGATGCACAACTGCTTCCCAATGTGACCTTGGGTTTCCACCTCTACAACGCTTTTGACTATCACTACAGAACCTTAGAAGGACCTCAGATGTGGCTGTCTGGAAGGAGTGAGTTTATCCCTAACTACAAATGCAAAACTCAATACAAAGCTCTTGCAATCATTGCAGGAGTCAGGCCTGAATTTTCTGCTGCAATTGGAACACTCTTGGAACTCTACAAAGTTCCACAAGTAAGTTAATAATGTTCTGGTGACTATACTCACATAGGAGACCTGACCAAAAGAAGATGAAGTTGCTATATTTACCTCCAGTAATTTAAAATAAAAGTAAATGAATTACCTGGATTTTGCTATAATCAACAGGGGAAAGAGTGTGGTGAAAAATGTGAGCAGCAAATATTTGAATTTCCAAACAGATCAATTACTAGTATTTATGATTCTATGTCCAAACATTGGCAGTATGTATTGTGGTAGATTATAGCTGAGTGCTGCTCACAAGTCAGAGTCTACAGCACAGATAACTGTCCAAGCTAGGTCATAAACATCTCATAGTTCCTCCAATGGTTTATTACTGACAGAGCAACAGAAAGTTTGGGACATTTAAATAAATTTGGACAATCCTCAAAGATATTATTAATAAAAGTGTTACAAGGAATTTATTTTCTCATTCAGAAAAGTAGATCTCTGAATAGCACTCACAGAGAACTGCTTAGATAAATCCCCACAAGGGGCTCTTACCAGGCACTATTGAAGCAAAACAGCCATCATTAGGCATCACTACAAACAGAAAAACCTTAGATGTGGACTATGCTCAGGAATAAACAAGATTAGAACATCGGACAGTGCAACACTGATTATTATCACTCAGTTAAAAAATGATAAATGTGCTGGATCCTGATATAAAAAAAATGATATACATGATAATTTTCAGGTACTCACATTTTATATCAGTTGCTCAGTGATGACTCATCAAATCTATCATTAGGGAAGGAGAAGGCAACAGAATTTGCTGATGTTCCCCCAGATCATCAGGCCTTGCTCTTTTCTAAATGCAGGAGCTAAATCTATGAACAAATTTGTCATTTACTTTCCTAAAACTAAAGATTCTAGTAAAGATATTGATATGTAGTCAGACTACAGCACTTGGTAATGCTTCTGCAGTCTTTCTCTACACAGATGCTCTGTTCAATTGTTATTTGAACAATAGAATTCAATTGTACCTTTCAAAACTGCCATGAAAATGATATCGGTCACTTTTTAGGTGCTTCAAAAACTCTTAGTAACTTTGGAGCCCATAGTACTTGAAAGTGACCATATGCCATCACATGATGAGAGAGAAAAGCTAATCTCACAGAAGACACTCTCTTCACCAACCTTCAGTTTCCTGATTCTCTTCTGTGAATAATAAACTCATTTCCTCTCTAAGGGTGATGACTCCAACACCCAGAATCTCTGAATGACTTTTTTTGTTTGCTTCATCAGATCTCATATGGAAATTTTGATTCTGCACTAACTGACAAAGATACATTCTCATCCCTTTACCAGATGTCTCCAAAAGACACAGCACTAATCCAAGGTGTGATCTCTTTATTGCTGCACTTTTCCTGGAAATGGTTGGGGCTCATTGTGTCTGATGATGTAAAAGGTAAGGAGTTCATCTCTGACTTGAAAGCGGAGATCGCATTAGAAGATATCTGTGTAGCTTTTACAGTAAAACTCCCAACTAATTGGAAGATTCAGTTAGTATCTGAAGTTGGGTTGCTGAATTTAAATCAAGATACACAAGTAAATGTACATATATTCTATGGTGATATAAATGACATATTGTTTTTCTGTTTCAAAAATGGACTCATATCAAACAGAAGGAAAGTGTGGATCATGACAAAGCCACAATTATTTCACTTGGAGTCTGAATATGAGTTAAATATTTTGATGTACATTTTTGGAGGAAGCTTTTCATTTTCAAAAAATGAAAATATTCCTGGCTTCAAGCACTTTATCAAAGCACTTATGCCCTCCCAATACCCAGAAGATCTTTACTTCCGTAAATTCTGGATTGACACATTTGATTGCACACCTCCTCCTTTACACTGTGGAAAATATATACCCTGCCCACCAAATATATCCCTAGAGACTAAAGAAGAAAAGGTTGTGATGATCACTTCTGAACCCAGAGTTTCCATATGGAATGCAGTGTATGCAGTGGCCCATGCCCTCCATAAAATGCTTTTGAGTAGAACAGAAATAGCACCTCACAAAGCGGCAAACAAGGACAGTCTTCTACCTTGGCAGGTAAGCCAACTCATAACTAAGGGAAGCACTGGGCACTTACATTATTAGTAAGTAATTCATGGTACACAAGCGTATAATACATTTTCACCTTATAATTAAAAGAGTAAGGCAAAGTGTAAAGGGGTTCTTTCACAATGTGTGTGTGTGTGTCTGTAATATGGTGCACGCTTTGGGAGATGGTAGCTTTGCTTTGAAGATATTAATTCTGTACAAATTTCAACAAATGCTTTCATAGTATGGCCTGAAATTCTGCAAGATATCCAAAAACAATTAATCTCAAAATTTTTAAGTTCAATAGTCACTTTTTTCTCTTTTCTTTTTTTATAATAACTTAAAAAATACCAATACAAATTACCACTTCCTCCACTCCTTGCCCTCCCTTCACTCATCCTCCATACACCTGCCCCTCTCCCCTATGCAATCTTAAGAGAGGGTAAGGTACCCTGTCCTCTGGAAAGTCCAAGGATACCCCCCTCACTACATCTAGGTTGAGCAAGGTATACATCCAAAGAGAATAGGATCCCAAAACGCCAGTACATGGAGTAGAGAAAAATCCCAGTGCTGTTGTCATTGGCCACACAATCTGACCCAACTGTAAACCACATTCAAAGGGACTAGTTTGATCCCATGATCATCATTCCCAGGACAGTTGGAGTTGGTGAGCTCCCATTAGCTCAGGCACATTTTTTCAGTGGGTCAACTCCTTGTGGTATTGATCCCCTTGCTCGTAATCTTACTCCTTCCACTTTTCTACTGGTCCTTGGGAGCTTAGTTCAGTACTTCGATGTGGGTCTCTGCATCTCTTTCCATCTGTTGTCGGATGAAGGTTCTACTGTGATATTTAAGATAATCATCAGTCTGAATACAGGGAAAAGCCAGTTTGGGCACCCTTCCCTCTTTTGCTTAGGGTCTTAGCTGGGGTCATCCTTGTAGATTCCTCGGAAATTTTCTAGAGCCAGCCCAAAGGCTCCCACAATAAAGATATCTCTTTTCTTGTTCTCATATCTGTCCTTCCTTCATCTCAACTATCCCATTTCCTCAAGCTTTCCCCAACCCTCTCCTTCTCCCCTCCCCTTCCTCTTCTCCACTTCCTTCTACCCCCATACCCTATGCTACAAAGTTTTGTTAGGCAATCTTGTCTGATTCCAATTTCCAGGTGAATCTACGTATGCTTTTCTTTGAGTTAAACTTATTAGTTAGTTTTTCTAGGATCAGAAGCTATATGCTCAATATCCTTTGTTTATGGCTAGAATCTACTTATGAGTTATTACATACTATATTCATTTTTTGATTCTGGGTTACCTCACTCAGGATAGTGTTTTCTAACTCCATCCATTTGCATGCAAAATTCAAGATGACATTGATTTTTACCACTGAGTAGTACTCTAATGTATAGATGTATCACACTTTCTTTATCCACTCTTCCATTGACGGGCATCTAGGTTGTTTACGTTCTGGCTATTACAAATAATCCTGTTTTGAACATAGTTGAACAAATGCTCTTATAGTATGATTGGGCATCTTTTGAGTATATGCCCAAGAGTGATATTGCTGGATGCTAAGGTAGGTAGATTCCCAATTTTCTGATAAACTGCTATGGTGATTTCCAAAGTGGTTGCATAAGGTTGCATTACTATGAGTGTTTCTCTTACTCCACAGCCTCTCCAGCATGAGCTATCATTGGTGTTTTTGCTTTTAGCCATTCTGACAGGTGGATGATGGTATCTCAAAGTTGTTTTGATTTGCATTTCCCTGATAGCTAAGGAAGTTGAACATGTCCTTAAGTATTTTTTTATCATTTGAAATTCTTCTGTTGAGAAATCTGTTTAATTCAGTACACCATTTTAATTGGATTATTTAGATTTTTAATGACTAATTTCTTGAGTTCTTTATATATTTTGGAGATCATTCATTTGTCTGATGTGAGGTTGGTCAAGATCTTCTCCCATTCAGTAGGTTAACTTTTTGTCTGATTGACTGTGTCCTTTGTTTTACAGAAAGTTCTCAGTTTTAGGAAGTCCCATTTATTCATTGTTGCTCTTATTGTCTGTGATACTGTGTTCATACACAGGAAGTGGTCTCTTGTGCCCACGCATTGCAAAATACTTTCCACTTTCTCCTCTATTAAGTTCAGTGTGGTTGGGTTTATATTGAGGTCTTTGATGTATTTGGACTTAATTTTGCTGTATGGTGATAGATATGAATCAATTTTAATTATTCTACAGACCTCCAGTTATGCTATTACCATTTGATGAAGATGCTTTCTTTTTTCCATTGCATAATTTGCATAATTTTAGTTTCTTTATCAAAATTCAGGTGTTCGTAGGTGTGTGGATTAATATCTGTGTCTTCAGTTTGATTCCATTGGTCAACATCTCTATTTTTTTGCCAATACCAAGCTGTTTTCATTACTGTAGCTCAGTAATAGAGTTTGCTGTCATGGATAGTAATGCCCCCAGAAGTTCCTTTATTGTATAGGATTGTTTGGCTATTATGGGTGTTTTGTTTTTCCATATGAAGCTGATTATTGATCTTTCAAGGTCTGTGAAGAATTGTGTCGAGATTTTGATGGGAACTGATTTAAATCTATTGATTGCTTTTGGTAGCATTTTATTTTTACTATGTTGATCATTCCTATCCAAGAGCATGGGGGATCTTTCCATTTTTCTGATATCTTCTTTCAATTTCTTTCTACAAAGGCTTAAATTTCTTATCAAATAGGTCTTTTACTTCCTTGGTTAGTGTTAACTCAAGACACTTTATGTTATTTGCAGCTATTGTGAAAGGTGAGATTTCTCTGATTTCCTTCTCAGTTTTGATGTGGAAGGGTCTTCTTTTTGTGATGATTTCATTGGTTAATAAAGAAACTGCCTTGGCCCATTTGATAGGCCAGCCCTTAGGTAGGTGGAGTAGACAGAACAGAATGCTGGGAGAAAGTGAGGCAATTGCCATGCCTCTCCTCTCTGGGTCAGACATGATGAAGCTCTAGCCCAAGATGGATGTACACTAGAATCTACCCAGTAATCCATCACCTTGTGGTGCTACACAGATTATTAGAAATGGGTTAGTCAAGCTATGAGAGTTAGCCAAGAAGAGGCTAGAAATAATGGGCCAGGCAGTGTTTAAAAGAATACAGTTTCCATGTAATTATTTTGGGTAAAGCTAGCCAGTGGCCTGGAGCTGGGAGACGGGAAGCAGCCCGCAGCTCCTTCTACACAGTTTCTTTATCCTTTGTATATAGGTAGGCTACTGATTTTTTTTTGAGTTGATCTTGTATCCTGCCACTTTACTGAAGCTAATTATCAGCTATAGGAGTTTTCTGGTAGAGTTTTTGGGGACATTTATGTACACGATCATATCATCTGCAAATAACAAAAGTTTGATTTCTTCCTTTCCAATTTGAATCCCCTTGATCTCATGTTGTCTTATTGCTATTGCTAGAAATTCAACCAGTATGTTGAAGAGATATGAAGAGAGTGAACAGCCTTGTCTTCTTCCTAATTCTCGTGGAATCTCTTTGAGTTTCTCTCCATTTAATTTGTTGTTAGCTGTTGGCTTGCTGTATATTACTTTTATTATATTTAGATATGATCTGTGTATCCCTAATCTCTCCAAGACATTTATCATGAAGGACTGGTGAATTTTGTCAAATGTTTTTTCACATCTAATGAAATTAGTATCTGTTTTTTTTCTTTCAGTTTTTATATGATGAATTACATTGATAGATTTCTGTATGTTAAGTCAGCTCTGTATCTCTGCTATGAAGCTTACTTGATCATAATGGATGAATTTTTTGATGTGATCTTGGATTTTTTGCCAGTATTTTATTGAGAAATTTTGCATCGATATTTATGAGTGAGATTGTTCTGTAATTCTCTTTGTTTGAGTCTTTGTGGGTTTTGGTGTCAGGGTAACTGTAGCCTCATAAAAAAAGAGTTTGGCAATGACCCTTCTGTATCTATTATGGAACATATTGAAGAGTATCATTATTAGCTCTTCTTAGAAGTTCTGGTAGAATTCTGCACTAAAAAAAATCCAGCTCTGGGCATTTTTTGGTTGGGAGGTTTTTGATGACAGCTTCTATTTCCTCATGACTTATAGGTCTGTTAAGATTGTTCACTTGGTCTTGATTTAATTTTGGTATGTGGTATCTATCTAAAAAATTGTCCATTTCTTTTACATTTTCCATTTTTGTGGAGTAAAGACTTTTGTAGTAAGCTCTAATGACTCTCTGAATTTCCTTTTGTTTTGTCCCCCTTTTCATTTCTGATTTTGTTAATTTGGATGTTATCTCTCTGCCTTTTGATTAGTTTGAATAAGGGTTTGTCAATCTTGTTGATTTTCTCAAAGAACCAGCACTTTGTTTCACTGATTCTTTATATTGTTTTCTGTGTTTCTCTTTTGTTGACTTCAGCCCTCAGTTTGATTACTTCCAGTATTCTACTGAGGTTGAGTCTGCTTCATTTTTTGTAGATCTCTGAGGTATGCTCTAAGTTGCTAATGTGAGTTTTCTCCATTTTCTTTATGTGGGCACTTAGTGCTATAAACATTCCTCTTAGCACTGCTTTCATTGTATCCCATAGTTTTGGATATGTTGTACCTTCATTTTCATTGAATTCAAAGAAGACTTTTATTCTTTCTTTATTTCTTCCTTGACCCAGGGGTGGTTCAGTAGTTGACTGTTCAGATTCCATGAGTTTGTGGGCTTTCGGCGGGGGGAGGGTAGTATTGTTGTTAAATTTGAACTTTGCTCCATGGTGATCCAATAAGACAGGTAGTTACTCCATTTTTTTTTGCATTTGTTGATGTTTGCTTTGTTACCGAGAATGTGATCAATTTTAGAGAATGTTCCATGAGGTTCTGAGAAGAAGGTATATTTTTTTCTGTTTGGGTGGAATGGTCTATAGATGTCTGTTATGTCCATTTGCTTTTTTACATCTGTTAGTTCTATTATTTCTTCGTATTTTGATGGTATGAAGTTACCTGTTCCCTGTGTTCTCATGGGTGTAGCTTGCTTTTTCAGGTTGAAGTTTTCCTTCTAATACTTTCTAAAAGACTGGGTTTGTGGATAGGTGTTGTTTAAATCTGGTTTCGTCATGGAATATTTTGCTTTCTCCATCTATGGTGATTCAAAGTTTTGCTGGATACAGTAGACTGTGCTTGCAACCATGACCTCTTAATGTCTGGAGCATGTCTGTCCAGGATCTTCTTTCTTTCAGGATTTCCATTAAAAAGTCAAGTGCGTAATTCTGATAGGTCTGCCGTTATATGTTACTTGGCCCTTTTCCTTTACAACTCTTAATATTCTTTCTTTTTTTATTCTTATATTTAAGTGTTTTTATTATTATATGGTGAGGGGACTTTTTTGTCCAGTCTATTTGGTGTTCTGTAAACTTTTTGCACCTTCATAGGCATGTCATTCTTTAGGTTGTAAAAGTTTTCTATATGATTTTGTTGAATATATTTTCTGCTCTTTTGCACTGGAACTCCTCTTCTTCTACCCTAATATTCTTAGTTTTGATCTTTTCATTGTGTCCTAGATTTCTGAGATGTTTTGAATTAAGAATTTGTTGGATTTAACATTTTCTTTAACCAATGAATCTATTTCATCTATTGTATCTTCAGATTCTGACATTCTCTCTTCCATCTCTTGTATTGTGTTGGTTTTGCTTGCATCTGTAGTTCCTGTTTGCTTACCTAGATTTTCCATTTCCAGAATTCCCTTAGTTTGTGTTTCTTTATTGCCTCTTTTTAAGTTTTTAAATCATGAATTGCTTGGACTATTTGCTTCACCTGTTTGGTTTTTCTTTTTTTTTTTTTAAAGAAATTTATTGATTCTTTTCAATTATTTTCATCTTTTTCTCCATTTCTTTAAGAATATTTTTATTTCCACTTTAAGTGTCTCCATCATCTTCATAAAATTATATTTAAGGTTGTTTTCTTCTACATCTTCTGTGTTAGGTTGTTCAAGTCTTCCTGTTTTATGACCACTGGGTTCTGGTGTTACCATGTTGCTTTTAGGTTGTTAAATGCATTTTTGCATTGGCAACTACCCATCTCTTCCTCAAAATGGTGTCAGCAGTGTCTTTGCCTCTTTCTACAATCCTTGCAGAATGGGAGAAGGGGAGAGAGGAGGAGAACTGAAGGGAACAGGATAGATGAGATGGAGGAAAAATAGAGATGAGAGCAAGAAAAGAGTCTAGATTGATCCTATGCTGGTTCCTTTCCTGTCTGGCTGGAGTTGGTGAGCTCCCATTAGCACAGGTAAGCTTTTTCAGTGAGTGTCACTATTATGGTATTGACATCTTTTCTTATATTCTTACTCCTCCCACTCTTCAACTGAACTTTGGGAGCTCAGGCCAGTGCTCCACTGCTGATCTCTGCCTCTGTTTTCATTAGTTGCTGAATGGAAAGTTTTATGGTGATATTTAAGGTACTCATCAATATGACTAGAGGGCAAGACCAGTTAGGACACCCTCTCCTCTATTGTTCAGAATCTTAGCTGGGGTTATCCTTTTCAATTCCTGAGATTTTCTCTAGAGCCAGGTTTCTTGCTAGCCCCATAGTATCTCCCTCAATCAAGATATCTTTTTTCCTTTCATCTCTGTCCTTCCTCCATCTCAACTATCCCATTCCCTCAAGTTCTCCTCCCACTCTCCTCTCCTCCTCTTCCCCTTCCACCCTCTCTTCTCCCCCATCCACATGCTCCCAATTTTGTCAGTCAATCTTATCTATTTCCTTTTTTGAGGTGGATCTATGTATATATTTTGCCAATATTATAAGTTCTTAGCTCTGTTGTGAACTTGTGTGTGAATGCTTATGCATGTGAGTGCATGTGCCCGCTGAAACCATAGTCAGAGTGGATACCATTTGCAAACACCCTCCATTTTATTATAAACACAATCTCTCTTTGAACTCCTTGCCTTCTGATTTAGCTTTCCTTTCTGTTCACCATACCACAGGCTGTATTCTTGTCTCCATTACTGCCAAAATTGGATAACAGGCATACAGTTTGGCACCTGACTTTTCTATACCTCCATTCTGCATAATCAAATCCAGGACTGTGTGCTTATGCGGGAAGCACATTAAATACTGGGCTACCTCTTTTGTTCTATTTGATGTTTTTAATTTAAAAATAAATAAATCTTTTAAATTTGACTGTGATATTGTATATCAAAGTCATGTATATGTATATACATGAACATATGCATAGGCATATACAAACAAACAAGAACGTATTATTAGCTAATTCCTGTAGGTAGAATTAGTTTGAATTGAATTTGAACTTTCATGCATTTATTCATATTATAATGAATGAATAGATCAGTATTTATGGCTATATATATGTATATATATATATGATTGTATGTATATTTCCATGTGTATACACATACACATTTTATTATACATGCATGTAGATGCTCAGTGCATCTCTCCATTGAACACAATTCATACTCAAACTTGCCCATTGTTCTCATAAAGAAGTAAATTGTGAATATGTAAATAAATCATCTCTATAGCCAATGTTTGTAAAGTACCTTTTTGTGTGCTGGGAGCTGGCCTCAGGGTTTCTCTGCAAAAGTAATATGCACTCTTAAATGCTGGGCAAGTTCTCCATCCCAATATGTAGATATTTATGAGGCAGACACTGAGTCCAAATTATGACAAGAAGAAAGATATTAGATAAATTATATCTAAAGGAAAGATAGAAATATTTTTTGCATACACATTTTCCAAAAATATCAACAAACTGAAGTTTTGTTAAAAGTATAGTGATTAATGTAATTAACTTAGAAGTAAAATGGTTTAAAAATGCTAAATGATTATGCACTAATGTTTGAAAGAAAAAGCATGGTATTATTCTGAGCACAGGGGGTGAAGGATGAAACTCACAGTAATGGATCATAATTCAGTTTCTCTGGAACATCAACATGTCATGAAGTCAGGAGAAACTTTGATCACCTACCAATGGCCAAACTCTCTTTCATGGGACATGTCAATCAGAGTGAATGCTTGTGACTACAAACTTGGTAAGCTGAAAGTAGAAGCAGATAGGCAAGAGTGTCTGGGTTTCTGCTTGACAATTCAACTGATTTGTAATTCATACAAAGAAGGAGTTTTGGCATGCACTTTCAAAGGAGATACTATATGAATGTTCTACACATTTCACAAAAGCTAGCAGAAGTGAGTCACAGTTTGGTCAGCATAAAGAAACTTTGAACATTTAGCATCTTGAAGTGTGCCAACTTCAACTCTACATTCTACATTTCCGTATGGACACTTCATCGTGCCTCATAAATATGTACAACTTCCATAGTCTTCATGCAGTTTAAATTGCTTGGCTTAAAATTACCTTAAGCCTGTGACTGAGGTACAAAATTATGACCAGGTTTTCTGTTTTTCCATTAGACTCCTGAATCTGTATGTACACAGAGCTGTGGTCCAGGTTTCTGGAAAATTCTAGAAGAAGACAAACCTATCTGCTGTTTTTCTTGTTTGTTTTGTCCAGAGAGACACATTTCCAATCAAACTGGTAATAAAATACTTTTCCTCAAATTGCTTGTTAATGTAGAAGGAGAAAGATAAGAAGTAACCATGATTTGTAATGCAGCATGGAGAAACATGTCTCTTTTCTTCATCCCCATAGTCAATAGTAATCACTGCTGATTCCACACAAGGTGTGAACATTTGTGTGGCAGTCCTCATGTTATTGTGTCATCTGCATCCATTTTCCCAAAACCTTTCTTTCTTTACATGGTAGTTTCACCTCAGCTCTAGCTGTGATCCATACTAGAGGCTGCTCAGGCAATGTGAGGTGTGCACATGACCATGCTACCTGTGTGTTCCTTAAATAAATGAATTCAATAATTCTTTCCTGAAAATAATCCCTGGGAAGACAAGAACATGTGGGGCTGTTAGCAAAATATACCACAAATAGAATTAAAGTATACAACACTACTTTTATTTATTTTTTGAGCTCTACATTTTTCTCAGCTCCTCTTCCTGACTCTCCCTTCCCTTTTAGCCCTTTCCAAAGGTCCACATATTTCCAAATTTAATCAGGAGATCTTGTCTTTTTCTACTTCCCATGTAGATTAGATCTATGTATGTCTCTCTTAAGGTCCTCATTGTTGTTTAGGTTCTCTGGGATTGTGATTTGTGGGCTGGTTTTCTTTGCTTTATGTTTAAAACCCACTTGTGAGTGAGTACATGTAATAATTGTCTTTCTGTGTCTGCGTTACCTCACTCAATATCTAGAAGAAAAACTCCAACCCAACGAAGTTGGCTACATCAACAAAAACACTGACAATTGATGGTCTCATAGCAGCACATTCCAAAGAAGGGGAAAATGCACAAATTAACATCACCAACAATGAAATTTAAATTAATGGGAGATAGCAATCACTGGTCATTATTATCCCTTAATATAAATGGACTCAACTCACCTATAAACAGGCACAGGCTAACAGGTTGAACACAAAAACAGAATTCATCCTTCTTCTGCATAAAAGAAACACACCTCAACCTCAAAGACAGACATTGTCTCAGAGTAAATGGTTGGGAAAAATATTACAATCATATTGAGTGAGGTAATCCTTTTATATTCTTATTGCTCTAGCTAGAACTTCAAGTACTATGTTGAATAGATATGGAGACAGTGGACAGCATTATCTTGTCCTAAGTTTTAGAGGAATTGCTTAGAATTTCTCTCTGTTTAGTTTGATGTTGTCTGTCAGCTTGCTGTCTATTGCTTTTTTTTAGGTTTAGGTGTGTTCCTTGTATCCATGCACTCTCCAGAACGTTTATCATGAGGAGGTGTTAGATTTTATCAAAGGCTTTTTCAACATCTAATGAAATGTTCATGTGATTTTTTTTTCTTTCAGTTTGACTATATGGTCAATTTCAATGACATATTTTTGTATATTGAACCATACCTGCATCTCTTGATTATCCCTACTTGATCATAGTGGATTTGTTTTATATTCTTGGATTCTATTTGCCAGTGTCTTTTTCAGTATTTTTGCATCAATGTTCATGAGGGAGATTGGTCTCTTTCTTTATTGCATATTTGTTTGGTTTGGGTATCAAGACATCTACAGCCTCATAAAAAGAATTTGGCAATATTCCTTCTGTTTCTGTTGTGTGCAACAATTTGAAGAGTATTGATAATAGCTTCTCTTTGAATTTCTAGAAAAATTCTATACTGAAACCATCTCATCCTGGCCTTATTTGATTGGGAGAATTTTTATTTTATTTTATTTTATTTATTTTTTTTTTTTGGTTTTTCAAGACAGGGTTTCTCTGTGGTTTTGGAGCCTGTCCTGGAACTAGCTCTTGTATACCAGGCGGGTCTCAAACTCACAGATATCTGCCTGCCTCTGCCTCCCAAGTGCTGGGATTAAAGGCATGTGCCACCACCGCCCGGCTTGGTTGGGAGAATTTTAATAATTGTTTCTATTTCCTTAGAAGTTATATGTCTGTTTAAATTGTTTACCTGGTCTTGATTTCACTTTGGTATGTTGTACCTATCAAGGAAGCTGTCCATTTCTTTTAGGTTTTTCAATTTAGTGGACTAGAGGGTTTTTGAAGTATGACACTGATTCTCAGGATTTCCTCAGTGTCTGTGTTATATCCTCCTTTTCATTTCTGATTTTCTTAATTTGAGCATGTTTTCTCTGCCTTTTCATTATTTTGGATAAAGGTTTGTCTATCTTGTTCATTTTCTCAAAGAACCAACTCTTTGTTTCAATGATTCTATATGTTCTCCATGATTCCATTTTATTAATTTCAACATTCAGTTTGGCTATTTCCTTGTAGTCCATACTCCTGGATGAGTTTAATTCTTTTTGTTCTAGAGCTTTCAGGTGTGTTGTTAAGTTGCTTATAAAATTCTTTATATAGTAATCCATGTGATGTTACTGAAATTCCTAACATACAGTGGAACTGAAAAGACTGTTCAAAGTTAGCGCATCTAACCATTTCAAAATTGAATTAGTTTCTAATTAAATAGGTATAAAAATTATCCAAGGCTCGCATTAGAAAAGAAACAGGACTAGAAACTTGAACACTGTTATGTTCTGTAGAAGTAAAGCATAAGAGGCAATGAAATTGCCTAAGATGTAGATGACGGTAAGACATGATTAAAGGACATTGAAAAAGACAAGTAAAGTAACTATGGTTGTGATATTTTTGGTGAGAATCAGTTTGTTGTTTTACAAAGTTTTACATTTATATATCTTTAATTTTTTCTTTGAATAGAGTGGGGGTGATAATTAATTTCAGAATTTAGTCAAATGTTTATTAGGAGTAATCAGACAGTTAACTCATGCATACAATGAGTATGTACAAAGGCATTTATTGTGTGAATAAATTTTCATGTATTTTGCAGAACTGTGAAAAAAAAAATTCTTTATATAGGTAATTAGTGTTATGAACTTTCCTCATAGCAATGCTTTCACAGTGTCCCATAAGTTTGAGTATGTTGTGGATTCATTTTCTTTGCATTCTAAGAATTCTTTGATTTCCTTCTTTATTTCTTCTTGACCCACTGGTGATTCAGTTGAGAATTATTCCATTTCCATGAGTTTGTAGGGTTTCTGTAGTTTGTGTTGTTATTGAACTCTAACTTTAAATCTTGGTGATCTGATAACAAGGTGTTATTCTATTTTTTGTATCTTCTGTGATTTTCCTGATTCCTGAGTATGTGCTAAGAAGAAGGTATATTCTTTTGTGTTTGGGTGAAATGTTTGGTAGATGTTCATTACATCCATTTGAGTCATGACATCTGTTAATTCCCTTATTTCCCTGTTAAATTTCTGTTGATCAGACCTGTCCATTGGTAGAAGCTGGGTGTTGAAATCTCCTACTGTTAATGTATGGGGTTTGATGTTTGATTTAAACTTTAGAAATGTTTCTTTTACAAATATGGGTGCTCTTGTATATTGGGCATAGATGTTCAGAATTGAGACTTCATCTTGATGGGTTTATCCTCTTATCAGTATACAGTGTACTTTTCCATCTCTTTTGATTAATTTTAGTTGAAATTCTTATTTTGTTAGATATTAGAGTAACTACACTGACTTCTTTCTTCAGACAATTTGATTGGAAAATCAAACCCTATACTATGAGATAATGTCTGTCTTTGAGATTGAGGTGTGTTTTTTGCCTACAATAGAAGGAGATATCCTCTTTTCATATATATTCTGTTAGTCTGTCTCTATTATGGTGAATTGAGTCCATTGATACTAGCTGGTATGATTGATCAGTGATTGTTATTTTTTCTTATTTTGGATTTTGGTGGTAGTGATACTAATATTTGTGTTTTCCTTCTTTGGGTTTAGATGTTGTGAGATTATTTATTGCCTTGTTTTCATGAATGTAGCTGAGTTTCTTGGGTTGGAGTTTCCTTCTAGTACTTTCTTTTGTGCTGCATTTGTGGATGGAGAGATGTCTCAGCAATAAAGAGCACTGTCTGCTCTTCCAGAGGTCCTAAATTCAATTCCCAGCAACCACATGGTAGCTTATAACCATTTGTAATGAGATCTGGTGCCCTCTTGAGGAAGAGACCAGGTCAGTCATCATCATCAACTTAGACCATGAAACCGAACATGGACAAGTTCAGCAGAACTACCATATGTGAACTACCCATGCATGTTTCAGCATTACCAGGGCATAAATTTCATTTTTTATTCATGATTAAATCAAGTTTTGTCATGAAATATCTTGCTTTCTGTCTCTATGGTGACTGAAAATTTTGCTGGGCTAGTATCCATGTTCTCTTATTACCTGTGAAATGTCTGTCCAGAACCTTCTGGCTCTCAGAGACTCCATTAAGAACTCTGGCATAAAATCCTTATAATTCTGTCCAGAAGGCAGAATTATATGCTATTCTCATGGTGATTAGGGATTTTAAAGAACCTCCTAATATACTTACTGATTTACAATATGCAGAAAGAGTTGTCTTGCATATTATTTTTTTGTATAGGATAGATTTTTTATTTAATATTTTTATTGATTTTTATTTATTTAATTTATTTTTTTATTAAAAATTTCTGCCTCCTCCCCACCTCCCTTTTTCCTCCCCCTCCCCCTACTTCCCACACCCCACTCCCCTCCTCCTCCCTCTTCAGTCCAAAGAGCAGTCAGGGTTCCCTGCCCTGTGGGCAGTCCAAGGTCCTCCTTCCTCCATCCATGTCTAGGAAGGTGAGCATCCAAACAGGCTAGGTTCCCACAAAGCCAGAACATGCAGTAGGATCAAAACCCAGTGCCATTGTCCTTGGCTTCTCAACAGCCCTCATTGTCCAGAATTTTCAGAGAGTCCAGTTTTATCCCATACTTTTTCAGTCCCAGTCCAGCTGGCCTTGGTGAGCTCCCAATAGATCAGCCCACCATCTCAGTGGGTGGGTGCCCCCCTCAGGATTTTGTTCCATCTTACTTAAGTCTCCTGATTTGTAAACTGCCTTACCTGATTTATTTGCATCAGTATAAAATACACAAGCTCCAGTTATTAAAGCATCACGTATAATTTGGGGA